TTATTTCGGCAGGAACGAGCTCCTGTGACAGAGGCAGCCACGGCATCGAAACGTGGCCGGCCCTTCCAGGCGCAGATGAAACCCAGCAGCCTCGCTTTGTTCTGGAGAGGCATCAGGGCCCTTGCAGCAATGCTCAGGGTCCCGCGGGCACTTCAGGCACCTCTGGGTGGGCTACACACAGCACTGAGCGCTGGGGCAGAGCATGCTGGGACAAGGCATCCCCTCCGCTGTGTGTGTCTCTTTTCAAAGATATCTGTCCTTTCCAGCAGGGTGAAGTTTTGGCAGGGCTCGTGGTCTGAGGGACAGGGCCCTGCCCTGCTCCCCTCGGGTTCTGCAGCCCCATTTTCCATTTGACCTCACCTCCCAGTCCCTGCAGAGGGGATCCCGCGGATGGGACTCGTGGATCTGCCGGTGCCGCCGCTCCGCGGGCTGAGGAACGGGGCTGATGCATTGAGGAGTGTCTGAACAAGGCAAGGGACAGTGGTTTGAAGGCAAAGGGCAGAGGAAACCCAACTGCACCTGCTCTATCCCCTTCACCCTCCACCCCTTTGCACCCAAATCACTGCCGGGATACCACAAGGGCCCAAGGAACGTCACCCTCACATCACCCCACAAGTGCTCAGGGTAACTCGAGGCTGGGCAGAGCGCGGGAGCGATGGTGCAGGCTGCTCGGCAAGAGGGGCCCGTGGTGGGGGACGTGCCAGCACGCTGCGCTGAACGGCTTGGAGGCGCCGAGAAACCCAGCCCGGGCCGGCGGGTGGCATTCCAGCCATGCATGGGCTGCCCCATGCAATAACGCCGCGTGGAAAGGGCATTTTCGAAGCCGACGTGCTGAAACCCCGCAGAGGATGCTCTGCACCATTACCTCCGCCTGGAAGGGGTCCCAGGAGAGGGGTTTTCTGTTGCTCCTGTGCAGCGTTGAGACAGACGGGTGCCGAGATGCCCAGAGGTCTCTCCTCTGCCTCCCAGCGTCCAGCCTGGCCCAGCTGGGAGGCCCCAAGGCGACACGGAGCTGGTAGCACCCGTCGCCGCTGTATCGGGAGGGCAGAGC